ACCTTCATCTGGCTGCATCTGCTAGTCGAGCGGAAAAATAAACAAGAACGGCACTAACTGCAAATATTAGCAAGCCTAGTATATACTACATATAACATGAGGGTTTAAAATTGGAAATTCTCCAAAATATCAGCTAAAATAAGCAAAAAATGGCAAGTCTTCTATAAAATAAAATGTGGCAAAAGTTATAATTGCAATCTGATCTTTCGTTGACACAACACTCAAATAATATTTTGTGTTCAAATATTATTTCGTATGACGTACTCATAAACACTGAAAAAAATGCTACTTCCAAAAATCGTAAGTAGTCTATGTGCAAAAACGTCCCTCACACGATAAACTGAACCTCTAAGTTGTATTTCCCTAACGTATCATTAAATTGAAAGCTTTTGCTGATTAAATGTCGTTGTTTAAGGCTCGTAGAAAACTACTAGGCGTTCATGAATATTTGTGGGACCAATTTGTTTGTTAGTAAAGGTATTGTGTTTATGTACACGTCGCATTTAATAGTCCCCTTATGATTGAACAAGATTGATTTTAATGGATTTGTGAACCTACATACTGGCATTTAACTAGCTATTAAGGCTTAACCTTTGTGTAAGTATTCTGATGTTTTGATACAAAAAGAAAGAAAAGTTCAGTCATAGTGCTCAGTCAGTGTTACATACCTACATCTGAGAAATAATTACTGGAACAAATATTTTCTTAATACAGCAACAACCTCAAATCTTGGCTAGCCTTAAGTTAGTCGCTACTGCTACAAGCTGCTGCTGCAAGTGAGCTGTTCAAGCGTCTTCTGTGCAGAGCGACATATATTATTGATCTTTTAACAGAATACGCAAATTTTCAATAGAAATACCATTACAAAATATTTAAGCTTCTGATTTATAAAAAAATACATAATTTATAAATATACTAAAACTGGATTTCATCGTAAAAATAAATGCCTTATGAAATAATATATAGGCAAATATTACGAAGATGGCATTACAAATACAGGATGGCAAAAAGTAATCACTCTACTCTATCAGATGATGTTATAATTATTGCAAAAGGCGTGGTGCGTCAATCATATTTGACATTTGTGAACTAGACAGATACTCTGCTAGCGTTAACATGAGTGGTTTCATCAAGACGGTGAAATCGCACACACAGCATTTAGGCGATTTGGCTTGGCCAGCAAGATCGCCCGACTTAACCACCCCAGACTTCTTTCTTAGGGGCTATTTAAAGTCTTGGGTTTATGCCAACAAGCCTCAGGCAATTGACAGAAATACAGTTATCACCGGATATCTTGTGAAAATCATGGAAATTCTAATCAAACAGGCACAAATATATTTTTCAACACTGGTGGCAACCAATTGACGGATATTTTCTTTTCCACTTAACAGAAAATTATTTCAAAGTAGGGATTTCCATCACTTTTTTTATTTAGTACAATAGATCTAAAAGTACCCAACTTGAATGATCACTTTTGCTCCACTTTGTATTAATAAATATATTAGTGACAACATTGCAGGAAACACTCGTCACTCGCAAAACAGGCCTAAACGTTAAGTTGGGTTTCTCCCTCTTAAACTCGCTCTTTTTTCTTAACAACGAAATAATATGAGAAGAAATACCTTTCAAATATTATGATTAATTTACAAGTCACATTACACGCATGCACGCAATTTAACATGACTTGGTCACAAGATATAACCAAACTTAACCTATTGATTTTCGGTGAGACTTAACACTTAATTATTGATTTATGAACTGCATGCGATAATCATGTTTATGATGGCATGTTACTTATCATCCTATAAATAATAAACCCAAAGAAATTATATACCTAGTCAGCTTGAACGAAACATTAAAAAAAACAATTGGAAAATTAAAAAACGAACGAAAACGAAATCTAAAAAGTGAAGAGATCATAAATGTTTTTTCCCCATATTATGTGTTTTTAAATTAAATATACCTACTAAGTAATAGTTAAACCCAACATCGTCAAGTCGGAGGACCACTAAAGAACTAGAATTCGAAAAACTTTTTTGTTTAGGGCTCTCTCTAATCGCGGTCTTCCGACTTGACGATATCCAGATATCGTCTCTTTCTAGATTATGTTTGAAAGTTTTAGATTACTAGTAGACACCCTAAAAACAACGCCTTTTCAATTGTACAGCCCAATCGGTCCATTCATTTAGGAGCTACGATGCCCCATACTGACACACACAGATATACAGAAGCGTCCAACTTATAACACCTCTTTTTCCGTCGGAGTTGAAAAAAAGGTACACAAACCTCCTTCAATGCCCAATTCTTAAAAACAAACAAAAATTTGTTCCTTCAAGAGAATTGTTAAGCCTATATAGAAACAGTAAAGTAAAGAACATGAATTTCTTGACCTGATTAAGATTGCGAAAACTTTTGTATAAGCACAAGAACTATTCAGATCCCGGCGATTCGAGTGCTCTTGGTAAATAATAGACTCAGCCCACAAGATAACGAGATGCATACAAATTCATAGCAAGAGGAGTGTCTGTATGAAGTTTGACAAACCCAACTATGCGTAACGACATTTTTCTTCTTAAAAATTTTAAATTATGATTCAGCATTCAGTTTTTGAAAATGTAAGCACTAACAAGAACGCATCTATAAGTTTTCTGTTAATTTGAAATTATTTAAAATTATAAGGCAGACAAAACATTCTTCTATTCGTTTCAACGACAAGATTCACTTTAAATTTTGAAAATAAACACTGAACTATAATATTACTTATGAGTTATTTTTATTGTTATGTTATATGAAATGTTGTCGAAAAAAGTCGCGGGCACAGCTAGTGAGTAAATACTTTAACTTTAAAGTACTTCATTACAATGTAAAACTAGATATTGATTCCAGATTAAAAAAATACGAAATTATAGTTGTATTGGAATTTATATCAAATTATGTGTTAAAAGCCTTGCAATTTGGAAATTAATTGAAACAATTTCAACTCGTCCATTACGTTCGTGGTGTCGTAAATAGTAGTGAATGCTTCTAGATAGTCGAAGACTGGTTCGAATCTAACCTGTTATCTCTCTACCTGAGAAAACCATTTTGTTTTTGTAGAAATGATTTTAGTTTCAATTAATAATAACACACTACATTGCGAATGGGCTGAAACAAAATGGGCCAGCTGCTAACTTTCCCGCGGAGATTTCATGCACACCACAGTATTTATTATGTCTATCAACGGACAGTATCACCTGGCTGTCCCTGAACTTGTCACTATTAATTCCGGTCAACAACTTCACTGTATTCACTTTAATGTAAAATATGACTTTATTGCTACCTTTAAGCGTTCAATGCATCTTTCAAGGTAAGAGAGGTAGGGTAAATCTTTTTTCGTATTGAGGCGTTGTTTTGTCAAGGCAATTTTGCAGATGACCGCAGTCTAATAACACTTCCCTCAGGTGCTGTATTTTTGTTTGGGATAAATATTTCTAGGGGAAGAAAAGTAGAGTAGTCAGGGTAGAAAACGCGTGACAATGTGGTATCGCAAAAGCTCTATGGTGGCCGCTTACCATCAGGCGAAACGTAGAATCGTTTGACACATTTTTAGAAGAACATCTTAATAAGTAATGGAATACTAATATTATTAATATAAATATTTATACATAGAAGCACCTTTCGATTTCCGTGAAAATCTTTGTATTCAACATACAAAAATGCAAGATACAAACTTGTGAATTTGGCTCATTAACATGGCCGATAATCACATAAACACCGACTTAATTAAAAACTCAAATGTATTGTAATATATTCAACGATATTTATAGAAATCTGTAAATAAAATCGCTTTGCAGCATAATGGATTATATTTCTTCACGACTATCGTTTATAATTGTTTGTTTGCTTATCATGAATTAACATTTTTACCGATTAATCACTATCGTTTAGAAACAGTTTTGACTTAAGGTGTAAGTAATTCATGTGAATATTATATTATTTTACCCGACAACACGACACTACGTTCCACATTTGGATCACTTACACCTGTTTTGTTTGTAATCTGTGATGACCCTATTGCTCGGACTTTGTAACGAAACCGTACAAGTAGTATTTCTTAATTAACTATCGCATAGCATAGGAGCATCACAGATATGTGCACACTCGTTTATTTTTAAAATACAAGTACAATCTCATGCCATGTTCATTTTGATGTTTCTTTCTTCTTGCATCAATAAAGAAAAAATCAAATGTACCACGCGGTGTCGACGGTTATGGCGATGAGGTAATTGTGCCCCGTAGGTATGCGCCCAAGTTGGTTAATGTTGGAATTCTTGACTGTACAACTCTTCTGCTCAACCTTTCATGTAGTAAAATCACTTAGCATGCTTAGAAAATTATAGTGACACAAAAACAATGTAAGTATACCTACAAAACTTCACCGGCTTATTAGATCTCTAGACCCTTACAGCACCACTGACTCCAGGGAACTACTTGCTTATAAGAAAATATTGTCAGCTTTCATTTGAAGCATGAATACCAGACAGAGCGATTAATGTTGTTTTGCTTTTAGTCTAATGTATAATTTATACCGTTTTCTGTTTTATATTGTCAGAATCAAAACTTCAGTGTATTATAACAATTTGGTGCCATCAGTAACGCAGGATCATTTGTTGGAGACCTTGGACGGAATGATTTAATGGCAGACAGATCCACCGGTCTTCCCTTGACCTTCAGCGACATCGATCAGTATATTTGATTTGTACCTATACCCTGCTTGTGACAACCCGTAGAGTTTCTACATGGTGATAAATGGCCCACATCACCATGCGATCTGCTTGGAATTCACTGTTTGTTCTTCGTACGCTAATTTATAGTTGTTTAAACACTATTTACGTTAAGATGTTGAAAAGCTTGATCATGTCCCACACAAATCTCTCAGGATATAAGTTCAGTAGCGCTCAATATGACTGTCGCTAAAAGAAATGGTAAATATATATTTCAAAAGGTTCTGGCTTTTTTAGGAGGAACGGTGCAGCCAGAGAAGCAATTCGTGGAGACTCCGAGGCCCATAACTTTCAGGAATATACTTATAAGAAGATAACGCCGTGTGACGTTTGTTCTCAAGTCCTTCGAGGTGAGAGAGTAATGAATAGGTAAACTGTACTTTTAACCTTTCTAATTTATAGTTTTGCTGTCACGATGCGGTTCAAGGAGGTTCAAGGTTGTATTCTAAACAACCCAGGTATAATGACTAATATCTTTCATCGTTGTGTCAACGGCATAACTGGGTGCATATAGACCATAATGATGGTTTTTGCATGACCTTACTGACTCTTTTACATAGGATTTGGTAATATAGAGTTGATATCTTGAAAAAAAATTTCCATTTGCAAGACAATTTACTATTTTATATTCGTCAAATCGTTGGTTTCTATTCATGCGATGGTAATTACTGACACCGACAGTACCTGGTACGTGACAGATGAAAATATTCATATTTTGAAACATCATCGCATCGTGAACAACTTTATTAGATTACATTTTAATCTTTCTATTAGTATTATTCTTCAGTATTTTTGTTTTGTATATTATTCTTAGCTGATATTTTTTTTAGTTTTTCTTTGTATGATTGGTTGTAAAACCCATCTTTATACTTAGTAAATACAATATTAATGCCACATTCAAAATAGTTTAAGTATTTAATCCCGATACTTTCCATCACGTATTTTCACATTGAACGTTTATTATAAATCTTTCTCTTCTTCTTACCTGAATTTTAAGTAATCGATTATTACGTTCCATGGCTGTTTCTGTAATGGATTGACACAACGAAATGAAGTTATACTGTAGCAGAATTTAATCGATTTAAAAAGTAAAAGTCTAGCTTGTGCCATATTCACACGAAAAGCCTTTTGTCTCGTGCCGTTGAACCTCGTACTGCGATAATCCTAGTCCTACATTCCAAATATTTCGGGTCAGAGAACACGCACGATTACAAGATTTTAACACAACGATAGTACGATTAGCGAGAGATTATGAAACCTGTAGTGTATATTTTTCGTTTTCGTCCTAATTATTAAGGATTGGGTAGTAGTCTCCTCCAATTTTTGTATATCTTTGTTAGATATTAGGTATTCTACTAGGTTATTTTTACATTCTTAGAATTATTCTTAGAAATCTTTTTTACGCTATGCTAATACTGAGTTAAACATATGATAGTATTAATGCGGAAGTATTGAGCAGAGTGAATGGATAACTTACAATGAACCGGGGTTTATCTAACTTTCCTCTTTCTGCGTTCCAATTCAAACTGTCAAGTGTAAATAATCCTGGCTCTTTCCCAAATACGGAATGAAAGTAATAGCAGAAAGTAAATATTTACAGAATTAGGCCTCACAATCACGAGTATAACTATGGAAATAAGTTCATAACCTGCCTACATGAAACTACTGTATGAAAATAATTATTCAAAAGTTCGTTCGGCGTTAGCAAATTGTTTAAAGACACTTTCTTCTTTGGTCAGAAGTCTAATTACAAAACTTATTACTAATACAGGTCATACTCGTCAAGGCCTCAGGTGTCGCTTATGCAAAATGAACGTACACACAGACTGCATGCCGCAAGTCGGCAAATGCCAGACCAAATCGCGTCTCTTGCGCAGGCAGAAGAGCACCTCCGAGATTGAGTCCCATAGAGTTCAAGAAACCGCCTTCGACGATGAAAGTAAGTTGTTAGATATCCTAAACAAATACCATCAGATTATTATTCTTGATAAAATCAAATAAAAGAAGAAGTGTGTAATACCACTTTCTGGTTATCAACATAGTATTACCATATATATATTTTCATAATTATGTAGACCACGCACTCAGAAGTTTTGGTAAGTTATTAGTACTACCTTCCGATTATAATGAGTAATTTTATTGAAGGTACTTTTTTAAAATTTAATGCTATCGATTTCATGTTATTTTTGCTTTTGATACATACGCCAAATATACTTCATCAATAAACAACATAAACACTGCTCTCTCGTGTAGTTTAGCAAACATCAGGTATACTTTACACACATCTTGAATAAACAACAGCTAAAGTTTTATATCAGAAGCCAATTTCACGTGTTCAGGGGTGGAAGACGGCTGGCTGCCGGGACAAAGACTCACCAAGATATCCTTCAAGGGATCAGTCGAGTTCGATGATGATTTCGATAGCTTCTATGACGAGGGTACAGTATAGCCAGTCAGGAATGAACCCTCACCCCTTTCAAATAGTATTTGAGAACATTAACTCTCCACATACCCGACAAAAACGACTCAGATGGGGTACCGACTAACAAACACATTCCTAGCCTGACATGTGCACTTAATAACAGTTCCTCTCCGTGTACTATGAGATCAACATGTCGTCGAGTTTGAATTACCTAACCGCATTTGATGCTCAGAGGAGGAAGTGGATCAGACCTACCAAGTCCTGAAGCGGGCCAACGAAATAGCGAAGCCGGGCGGCGGGGAATCGCGCGGGGGCCCCGTAGTGCGCGTATCAGCGCCGGACGAGACTCCACCCGCTCGCTCGCCAGCGCGTCCGTCCGGCGGACTCGCCGTCGTGCCTCAGCCCGTGTCCTCTAGCTCAGGTGTGGCGCCGCACCCGAGCTCGCTTGTGCCGCTCGAGCCGCGCCGTAGGCCGCCGGTCGCCGTCTGCCACGCTCCACGCGCTTGTCTCACCGATCTGATACGATGCAATCTCTCTTTTGATGCTATAAGCGACAGGTCTTCAGTAGAACTTAGGACTCGATCAATATTTTATTAATACGCTAGTTTTTTATATATCTAGATATAGCCTCGGTGAAACAGGAACTGTCGTCCATTGGCTCAAATTGTGAATGCATCCTAGAGAGGTGGTGATACAGGAGCGGGCGGGCTTCGAGCTGGCGGCGGCCGCCCGGCAGCTTCACCCAGATCACTCGTTTTCAGTAGTGTCGAGATGTTTTGCACGCCTTTGGTAATGTCGCGGGCGCAGGGCGGGGGCGGGGTGCGGTCGGTACTTAGCGGTGCTTGTCGGTAGGCGGGGCGACGCGGCCCGACGGCGGCGTGCGGCGGCGCCTCTTCGCCGGCGTCAAGAGTTTGTCCATGTGGGGCTCGCGGTCGCGCCGTGGTTCACCGCAGCATCGGTCCATTTCTCTGCCAGAAAGTACGCGCTCACAGCTGCCGTAACGATGCTCTCTCATGTCATGTCACAGCTGTGATTTACAAAAAGCTTTGTTTCTCCCGTCTTCTCCTTGGATTTCGGAGCCTCATTTTCGTTGTGTGTTCAGTATACGTTTGTTTCGTTTATTTACATTTTGTTTCATGTTTGCAGTGTTAGATTAGTTTAGGTCTAAAACTAGAAGAAGCTCGGCAAATACACCTTAGATATGCTTAAATCTGTCATTCACAGGATCACAGGATTTCACTTCATGTGATAGAAATGGATAATGAATGATGATGAATCCGAAGTGTCATTTTTAAACCAAAGAGTTTCCCTTTTTTGTTTTGTTATGTTTTTTTGTATTTAATTTAAACCTATGTTTTATTTGCTTTTATTTATTTGTTCTTGTTTATTCGTTATCATTGCAGAGTCAGAAGAGACAACGTCGCGACCTTTCGGGCAGCCCTTATGTTTTGTTAATGAGAACGGTGACCCTCCGCCATCGATTCTCAAGTCCACGGCCAGCGTTCGCAAGAAAAAATGATTAGCAACATTTCACTTCACGGGATTGAAACCATAAATCATGTTGCCTCGTAGGCAAGAGCACTGACTCAGAGCGTCAATAAGGCTGATTCAACAGCCAACCCTCGGATATTTAATTCTGATCACCCCGAAGCGCCCCGCGTTCTGTGATATGTATATTGTTACTGTTACAATAAAAGTAAAAAATCAGCTTCCTTTTTTCTCGTTTACCCTCAAATTGCACATTTTTCTCAATTCAAGAAACGTATTCTGCAGTCAGAAGTTTGAGAGTAAGTGGTGCATGGCTTAATGCGGTTTTGATGACTGCATGCGTTTTTGGCAAAAATTTACACATTTTAACATAAAACTAACGCTTTTCACTTGCAGCCAAATATCCCGTTTTCTTAACTGGACTAACTCAATACCTAATACTCTGCTTTTTCACGGTTTACTTAACTCAAAAGTCTCTCAAAAATTGCATACTCACGCTGAGCAATAACCATCACAGACATCACACGCTGTGAACAACTTTACATTACCTTCAATGAATTTTCCAAAGATTTCATTTGATTTTGCTTACTTATTAAAATCTTACTCTGAGACTCCTTTGTTTTTATTTCACTTTAATCCGCAGGATATCTTCTCGAAAGACTACGGTAGAAAAGTAATAAAAACAATTATAGATTAGTACCTGTTTACTTGTCCACACAGGATCAATGAAGAACTCGAAGAGTGCCCAAATGTTGAGGCAAGCAGACCGCACCAGTCCCTTACCTGGTACCAAAAGACAACGTATAATATAATCAAATTCCCGTAGATCTTGAAAATGTTCATTGCATTGAAAACAGATTTGTTATGAGAACTCATTCATTAATTTACTATTATGTCACCTAATTTATTATAGTATCCAACGAACGCTGCTGATGACGGGCTGCATCTGACAATAAATAGAACATTTTATTACGTAGTATCTTGATAATATCATCAAATAAATATGCCTTTACATCAGTAGCAATAGGCAGTAGTCGAACTTGTAGCTCAGGCGATGAAATTATTGTTATATTTTTTTTCTATTTTAATTATCTTTCCTTTCCTTAGTGTGTTTAATTTTTATTTGCAATGCTTATGCACTGACGATGTATAAATTCACTTTATCTTTTTGATGGTTTGCCTGTATTTAGAAACTAAAACGATAAAATCTTTACCACAATACATGTTTTTATCACAAAAAAAAAATTGTGGAAAAGGTTTCTAATTCAACTTAAATATTTAACTTTTATTATAATCTATCTCTTATATTATCTGAACCAATAAAATTCTGAAAGAAATGAAATTAATCACCATTTTATTTAGACCTACAACATCACCATCACTTTCACTAATCATCTTTATAAAATGGTGAATAATACATTTCTACTTGTCCTCGACATCTTAGAACTCACAAACATGAAATACATTATCAAAACAATTCATTCCACCTAAGAGTTTTTGGGTTGTTAACATTTTTGATAAGAAGGATGAGGTAGGTGACGTTCCGTAATGAATGTTATAGCGCCGCACTCACCGAGACGACAAAAGTTGAACCTTAGGATGAAGAGCCTCTCGCTGGACTCGCCGGAGTGTGGGGAGCTGAGACGACGCCCAGGCCGCGACCAACCGCCCTCACAGGGCAGCCGAGTTCTCTGTACGAACATTGCAGTAATAACACCATCGGGTCCAAATAACTTACACTGACCTTAAGATCCAAAGATCAAAAAAACAAATGAAGATGCTATTTCCGTGTGAACCGTAGAATGTTTGAAAGTAAAACGCATGATTTCAAAGTAATATCACTTCGTGAGATCGTTTTAAATGAAATATTTAAAGTTTGTTACACACGCATCTACATTTGATAGAATCAGCATAAATAAACATGAACATAAAAAAACAAGAATTTCCAAGAATATACTATAGTATGCACAGACCTAGACTTAGTAGATGACGCATGTGCTTCAACTTGAGTGAAAACCGAGCATATCATATTTTGAAAATACGTATGGTGGCGGAAAATCACTTTTACAGCTTAACTTGGCACAATTAGACTATTTATTGATATTGCAATTGCCATCCAGTGCCGAGAACGGAGACGCAAAGAAATAAAGTGGAAGACTATTGAATACTATATTTTGACATGTTTTTGGCACGCAGAGTGCAAATACATGCGCTATCTATTTAGATCTATGTTTGTGATAAAATAGATATGTAAACTATGATTTTAATTTGACGAAATCGACAGAGTATCATAAGTACTAGTTCTTTGGACTCCGATTTTATGTAAAGCAATGTTATGTCAAGCAAAAAGCGATGTTCACTTTTCAAGATCCGACTATTCGCTTAGCTTGTGTGCTATAGTATAAGGTATTCGTTGTGTTTTGCTGTCCCAATTTATGTGTTTGGTCCGCTTTTGATTTCCTTTAGGCGATGTCCTAAATAACTTTGTCACCTGATTTGGTGTTTCTTCGTCGTGTCGTCTGAAAACTAAATTGACAAAACGCATCTCCGTGACGACAGGCAGTGGTATTGATTGGCTTTATAAACAACGTTGTACCACCCTTTTCTTTCATCACAAACCCCATTGGCAATAATCACCGCAATATCTCTTTTCTGCAATATTAATTGTTTTATTTATTGTAGTTGTAATTTAAATTGTATTACCTATTTGCATGAATTTATGTTATGTTTTTATTGTTTTCTAGGTAGATGCAGAGCACTTTGCATGAGACACGGCTTAAACAGAATAAATACCTACACGATTCATAGATATACGCGTTCATGTACGTTAATAATGTTTTTAATAAACATGATAGAGATACAGCAGAGAAATATGCTCATGAGATCTAGGTACTCCAAGTCATGAGAGATTATTTAGCTGTCAACTTATTGTTTCGTAAACTTTCATAAATAACAAAGCTTTCAAGGCTTTAATATCATAGTCGGTTCTATTGTCTGTAATGTCATGATATGGATCATAAACAAAAGGCTTATCATTATCAGATGATAATACATTATTTGCCTGCTGTATTATAGGAGTAATTCTAATGGAATAGATAGATATCTTTTACATCATCAGGGGCTAATTTGAGGGGCTATATTGAGTTACATTATTGTTCAATGGAACGAATATTCAGAAAAAGATGTTTATCACAGCAATTTGATTGCACGGCATGTTATATTTTAGTCACAGGTAGGTGTAATGCAGTTATATAATATCATTTTTTCTCTAACGAAATATTTGTCACATAACAAAATTTTATGACGCACAATATAATGAATATAAAAAATGTATCGCAATGTGTTATTAACAGCATATATCAACAGCATACTGTCAAATTTTCACGCGTGGACCCGATGTGGATCCGCGCGAAACTGTGTGGGAAACGCAAGGATCCGATTCGGATCCGCGCATGAAAATTTTACAGAATAGCACTGCAGGTGTGCGTTTTGGAGTAGCACGTGTGATAGTCGTTTGAGACATTCGTTTCATTTTATCATTCGCAAATATGTTTAATAGTCGTCATGACATATTTTGCGTAGTACACAAAACAAATGACAATTAAGGTTTAGAATACTGTTGTGACGTACGCAGCTCCATCTTCGCCGGTGCACAGCAGACGGCTGTTGAGTGCCAAGATTGGCCGCATGAGCAGCGTTGAGCTACCTGACGAACCGGACAAGAGCTTGTCATCGAATAGCGCTAGCCCTTGCCTCTCACCCGTGAAGCAACCAAGTGTAAGCACCATTTATGAGTAATATCGCAAATAAAGAAAAACAACAAAACACGATAAATCCAAAGCTTTTTCTTCTTCATTACTAAGTTATATGTGTGTGTACTTTTAACAATTTGAAAATAATGCTCGCTATAGAAAAATAAAGGAATCGTAAATTACTAACTCTCCTAAACACCTAGTAAAAACGAATTAATAGGACTGTTTGGGTGGCACACTGTCGCAAATTAATTCTAGAGAATCAATTAGTCCAGCTGGGGTATGCCAAATGTAGCTGCTTCAGATATATGCGTATTTATCAGATTTATGATTGTGTATTGATTTTATCAACCGAAGTGGCAGTGGATTTATTAACATGAGGCGAACAAAACTCCGATGACCATTGAGGTTTTCGAATGGCAACCACGCAACGAAAGGCTACAATTTTTGGATTGTAAAACTTTGGTACAGCGCTCTACGCTGGCAATAAGTAGGCAACTAACAATAAACCAACGATCTGAGTTGAAACCTGCTGAATGCGGATAGCGTTGGACTGATCGGTGTGGAGATCCTTGTAGGAGGGGGTCCGGGGTCCGCAATAGGGTTTACATAGCTGAGTTAATGGAACGATAGTATTTATCTGACTTCAACTACCCCACTTTCAGGGCTCCATAAACTCGGGATTTATATGGCGTAAAATTATGTTTCTATGTATTTATGTCTTAATCTTAACATCAACCTTTGGAAATGCATTGGTCATAGTACAGATCGTGTTTAGGTCTTTGCTTCAGAGTTCAGGCCAATTCAAAGACCACAAATACATATATTACTATATTGATTTTTGTTAAAGCAGGCTTCAGCGATACTAAAAACAACTTTATAAATAATTCAACCATTTCTACAAAGACTTTTGATGAAAAAATTCTCACTAAGGTATTTGACAGTTGGCAGCTCAGTTGAAAACACAATCGAAATTATAGCGGATTCCGCTCTAATGAAGTAGATATCTGAGACAGTTGTTTTTTTTATAAGCAGTTTTGCGTCTTTCGTTTTAGTTTTAAATAGGTAGTTAATAGGTACATCGCAAATAAAAATCTGCGGAATAAATAAAGTTAACTTGATGTTGATTTCAAATCCCGCGAAATCCATAATATGAAAGGATTAATAGTGAACCGTACTGATTGTAGCTATTCCATAACTTTCTTAAATTTATACCTACCCTATGAAATAGCAGGGTTCATTGGGATACACTTTTGACGATAAAAAGTACTTTTACATGTTTCACCAATGTACAATCAACTAAATAAACAAAGTTGACGGTCTATTTTTATTCATTATTTTCCTCACACGTAATACTGTAGGTATCTTTAATAGGTGCTAAATCTTTATGAGCTTTACCTACAATATAACTTTACTTGGAATAATACAGAGATGGTACATATTCATTCACTCGCAAACTTTTCCAATTGGTACTATTAATTTGTTTTATATATATACGTTACTGTAAAAGTGGGTTATTTTGACCCTGGGAAGTAACTTTTCCTAAACCAGGAAAAAGCTTTAACTTTCCTTGAAACTTTTAACGAACCTTGTCATATTCATTCTTTAACCTATAAATGTTCACAAGAGCAATTTTCTATTGTGCTATTAAATTTTTCTCGTTTTGGGACAAGTTTACCTTCCAGGTTTCAGAGTGGTGGGTATAGGTCACCATTATCCGCTCCAAGAGGGGAATTAGCCTCCAGTTTACTAGAAACCACAGTGAAATAACATAACATTTTTTTTATAGTGGTGTGTTTCTGTAAGTAAAGTCTCAGGGATCAACGGGTTAGAGGATTGATTAAGGCGGGTAAAACAAGTATTGTTAATGCGGTATGTTTTTATCATCAGATGAGAAGGGGCAATTTGTTGCACATTGAATATAAAAATTTGTTGTTTAAGACCAGTAAAGGCGAAATACCTTGATATAGGTAAAAGGTAATATTTTATACAGATTTGTTAATATAGTTATAGCGTCACTCTATACTTCAATTGGATTCCTATATATTTTGACGACCTCCGTGGCCGAGTGGTTTGTACGCCGGGTTTCATGGTGTCGCCGAGTTGAGAGGTCCTGGGTTCGAATCCCGGTGGGGGCAGATGTTTGTGTGATGAATACGAGCATTTGTACTTCAGTCATGGATGTTTCATATGTATTTCTTTAAAAATATACTTATATATGTACAGTATATGTATTCTATCCGTTACCCTAGTATCCCATAACACAAGCCTTACAGTGCTTACTTTGGGGCTAGGCTAATTGGTGTGAGTGTTGGAAATATTTATTTAAATATATTTATATTTATAAAAACCTACAGAAAAGTTGCCAAGCTATAGAAGTTCACGTAGGTAGTTATTTTGATATTCTATAACTCAAATTTTAAAATCGGCGGACCTAATAACTCAAATGTGTTTACACAAACAGCCTCGACCGCTTTATACATTTTAAAACTGTACATTTCATTATGAACTTTTAATTAAAAAATATATATTTTTTGTTTATAAAGCACATTTTAAAAACTAAATGCTTACCTATATATTTTTATAAAGAATATTTTGATGTACTTACCGTTACTTGCATCTGTTGGTTAATGTTATGAAGTCAAAAATATTTTGAAATTTGCATTTCCTTAGGAGGTTTCCTCTGCTCATCATATTATTTCTTTTGACTTACCTGGATTTTTAACCTTTTCTGTAATATATTTTTTCAGAAGCACCAGAGACTGCTGCCAACGAACTTGTACGTAATCCTCTACAACTTTAAGTCCAGACACGCCGATGAGTTAGACTTGAAAGCCGGCTATAAAGTGACGGTGATTGACACCTCTGATCCTGATTGGTGGAAGGGGAAGTGTTTGGGCAAGATCGGATACTTCCCTTCCAAGTATTGCACGAAGCTCCAAGCTGGCGAGAGACCCTTGCAGGTCACCCATAATTTACAGGTAATATTGTCAGACATGACAATGTTAACTTAAGCGCTCATCAATCTTAGACTTACCATTAGTTATGGTAACAGTATTATTTTTCCACAATGTTTACATTGGTGTTGGTATCAGTGTTGCCAACACGGAGTATTTAGTGCTAGATTTAATATTTTTCACTGAAAATACTTGTTTCCATAGTCAAAATGTACCTACATTGTCTATGGTCGGTCTTTTCGGTCTATGGTTATTCTATGATGGCGCCGTTATTTATGGTTGGGTATTTCCTGATAATTTTCAAAACGTTTCGGCTACTGAGAAAGTAGTATTATTATTACCTACACATAGTGAGTTACTCATTCAGTCTCTGTGGTAAGTTCGCAGTGTTAAACAGTAGCTTCAGTTCGGAACATTTGTTATTATTTCGTAAGATGGCGCAAAGTAAGTAGCCCTATACACAGAAGTTCAGCCAAGAATGGCTGACTGAACCAGAATTTCAAGGTTGGCTTCAAGTAGTTAAAACAGACCCACCAAAGCGTTTTGTACCTACTGCAAATGCGAGGTTAATTCTAAAAAAGGTGATTTATTAAATCATATAAAAAGAAAAAAACACCTCAAAGCGGCGCAACCATTTTCAGCGGGACAATCAAAATTAAGTTTTTTTCCAAAATCAAAAATTGATCCTAGGACAAATTCCGCTGAAGGATCATTAGCCCTTTTTATAAGCGCTCATACTTCAATATAACCTGTCGATCACCTTGGTGTATTATGTAAAAAACAATTCAAAGATGCTGAAAACTTAAAATTACACAGAACAAAATGTAGTGCTATCATAAGGAAGTTTTAAGTCCGCATTTTGTAACCGAATTAAAAAGAGATATAAGCGATAGACCATTCAGTTTGCTATTAGATGAGAGTACTGATATCAGTATTACTGAACTGCTCGGTATCGTAGTGCAGTATTACAGCAAAAAAAGGTTTGGAATAGTTTCGACCTTTCTAACATTAGCCGAAATAAAAAAAGGTGATGCCGAATCCATTACAAACGCTGTGAAAGAAACTCTCAACTTCTTCGGTCTGAATATAAAGCAGTTACGAGGTATCGGTGTAGATAACGCCTACGTAATGGTTGGAATACTGAGTATTCCAACCATTACGTACATTAAATGTGTACATTAAAAGTTAAAAATGGAAGTACCTCATCTCATCATGGTAAAATGTACATGTCATTTTATTCAATTGTCTATTTCTCACGCTTCTGCCGAGCATTTTCCAAGGCATTTGGAGTATTTAGTCCATGAGACTTATAACTGGTTCTCAAAATCGTCGAATAGACAAAATGAAAATCAAGTCCTTTTTATGACCATCAATGATAAAGAACCATCAAAAATAACACAAGCTACCAGGTGGTTATCTGTTGAAAGGGCGGTGAAGAGGATTTTAGAACAATGGATGGAACTAAGATTACATTTTAGCCTAGTGAGAAATAGCGAAAAGTGCTACGCGGCTGAGACTCTTTACAGTCTTTTTCAGAATCCGACCAACGAAGCTTATTTATTGTACATTTATTCGATATTAGAAGAACTGCAAGCGCTTGTAAAGATATTTCAATCTAACAATATTGATCCCTGCAAATTATTACATGACCTGATTTTAGGTATACAATCTCTGGCAAAACGAGTATTGATTCCCAGACGTAACATAAATGTTATGGAAACAAGTAATCTGCAAGACTATTTAGATCCTCGGCCTTATCTGGGTTATCTATTGGAGAATAAGCTGAGAGAAATAAAAGATATTGGCAGATTTTCAGAAGAAAATGAGATCGATTTCAGAAATAAGCTCAGGGTTTGTTGTGTCACTAATTAAACAGCTAAAGCACAGATTGCCGGATAACTACGAGATTCTGCAAAAAGTGGACCTGTTCTCAGTTACCAATACCCTTAAGCAACCGAAGGATAACATCACATCACTAGTTATTGGAATGGGGTACCAAGTAGAATTTGCAACTAAAGTAGAAATCCAGTGGCAAAAGATAACATTAATACCCTGGGAAAATAAAACTAACACATTGATGTTCTGGGCTGCTAACGAAAATCCCTTTGATGAAATTAGTTCCTTTACCGTCTCTATACTTTTATTGCCATGGGCCAACGGTGAAGTGGAAAGAGTCTTCAGCCAGTTAAATTTAGTTAAAAATAAATCAAGAAACAGATTAAGCGTAGCAATGATTAATGCGATTTTGACAATCAGGTCGGGATTAAAAAGAATGAAAAAATGCTGCCACAAATACGAGCTTCCAAAAGAAGTCCTTAACAAAATTGGGACCGTTTTAACCTACAAACAAAATAGTGACGATGGAGCTGGTTCCAATAGTGGCCTAGAAGCACAAGAGCTGGAGTCGGAAACTATTGATTTTGACGAAGAAGACCATATCTTTTTATAATAAATGATTACTTCTTTCTCGGTATTTTAACTGACTGAATGTTGTTCATATTGATTTTTAAAAAATAGTACATATAAATAATTTTGCTGTTTTTCTAAAAAAATCTCCTTTTAAAAATCCGAGTTGGCAACACTGGTTGGTATTCAACTAGCAGAGGATGTTTTATGAATCCTGTCAATCATAGCAAAAGATTCATTTGGCATAATTAAAAGGCATTTTAGGATCAATAAATCAGCCGATCACTGTCCTCGCAGCTGGGGCCTTTCCTATGCATAGAAATGGGCCATAACCCATCGCGCAGGCCCAGGGCGGGTTTGTGGTTGCTAACTACTGCAAAAGTAGCTAGGAATCCACGACCAACGGCTTAACGTGCCTTTTAAAGCACTGAGGAGTTCTAGATCATAAATGCTAGACCTAACTCGCTAAAGACTGCGCCTTTGAGCACCTCTTTAAGGATGTAGGTCATATGTTTTTCTTAAAGAATAATCTCTGAAGTAATTTTAATACAACTATTAAAAGTAAATTAACCTGATTTCCACAGGTCTCTGACGGTGACAATGGCCTGATGCTGCTCAGAGATCAGATCGTGATTCAAGTAGGAGACGAGGTGGACGGCATGGTGATGATCCGTTCGGGCGACAACCGACAAGGCGTGTGCCCGGTGAAGTTCCTTCAGGAAGTGTGACGGTTTAAGCTGCCCAATTTTTATATTATGAGGGTAATTCTTTTTTGTTTTTGCTTTCTCACTATATATATTTATAGACTTTTACATTTAATCCTAACATAACAGGGTTAAAAGTTTTAGATACCTTTTATATTTGCTCTAGAATTTTGGTTGTCTTTGTGTACATATGCAATATTATACATTTTAACTAAAATTTAACCATATTTTTCAAATCTTCTCACTGGAACAGTTGATTGAATAAACATTAAACCATTATTCATAGTTGCATAACTACGCTTTATATGTTAATACATCTTATTATACTACAACTAGGACTACAATAAAGTATTATGTTATTTGAGTTGCTCTTTTATCATTACAGAAACGCGGATCACTAACTGAAGAAAGTAACACATTGCACGCCCCGAAACCTAGTCAGAGCGCACCGGTCACGCCATGTGACAGCGACAACTCCACTTGGTCCGATAGAACATGGATGAGTAAGTACAGCTACGAATCAACTTCAGGGTACGATTCTGCGGACGGCGCGTGGTGGTGGAAAAGACAGACGGAAGTGAGGCGAGAGCAGCAAGATGGCGTTTGGTGGTGGCGCAGACCTTTAGATGTACGACGGAATCAGTGCAGAAGATGTGGAGCTTGCTCAGCAACAAGGCCCCTTAGAATGACTCCATGTGCAGGCATCGCCCAAGGAAGTGACGAGGATCATGGAACCCAACGACCCCTAATGTCCCGCGACCGCCCCTTACTGTTCGTCAGGCAATTATTTTTGTAGTCGCTTTAAATCCTTTTGGATATTTTTGTCGTGAACCTCGAGATGGCCTTTGAAGGTGGCGCAGACCTTTAGATGTACGACGAAAGCAATGCAGAAGGTGCGGTGCTTACTCAGCAACCAGACTCTTGAATAACTTCATCTGGAAGCATCGCCCAAACAAACGACGAAGAACCCAACGACCCCTGATGCCCCTCGACCGCCCCTTACTATTCATCAGGCAATTCTTTTTGTAGTGGAAATCCTTTTGGGTACTTTTGTCGTGAATCGCAAGATGGCGTTAGATGTAAGGAGGAATCAGCGCATAAGATGCGGCGCTAATAGCCTAGCAACCAGACCTCTAAGAATAATTCCATATGCAGGCATCGCCCAAAGTAATGATGAAAAATATATATATATATTTAACCCAATGACTCCTGGTGTCCCGCGAACCCCCTTTACTGTTCGTCAGAATTTATATATGTCATTTTGTAGTTGCTTTCCTTAAAGTCCTTTTGGGTAATTTTTTTTGAGGTATATAGTTGTTCGCCGAATCGAATGCGTCCCAATTGAATTTTTCGAAAGACAGACACGAACTTACGAATAATAAGAATCGGTGAATCAACTTATATAATATCTACTTGCTATATTGATCGCGGGACTAGAACTGTGATTATCTTTTAAGAAATTGCTATCAATATTGGGACGTGTTTTATACGGAAAAACTCGACCCGTAAACTTTATTAACATTTCGGCCTACTTATGTAACAAAAATCAAATTATGAGCTGCGTTATTCAATTATGATAATGTTATTATACATTTACGTAGTAAGTGTTTAAATTGTATCTCTGTGTTATTAAGTCCATAATTTATTGAAGAAAATTCGCTACATATCATTCTCATTATGTGCGTTGTTAATTTAATTGTGATATATAAGATTAAATTGTCTAAACATGTCATAGTTAAGGTTAGGTGCTGAACAAATTTTGAAAGATTACCAAGAACTCTACGTTTGGTTCGCTATATGTTATATACTTTGGAATTCATTCTCTTTACTTATATCTAATGTTAAATTGAAAGAATTCTATGGTGTCGATTCTGGCATGATTCTCTAAACTTAAAACTTATCATCAGTTTCTCCTTTTCATACTGTATAGAGAATAACAACGATACACTGTTGTCAAATTTAAGTTTAGGTTTAGAGAACCATGCCAGAGTCGACACCTATGCTAACTTAATTTACTATATTTTTGTTACTTTACTAGAAATTTGCCAAGGGAAAATAAAAAGGAACCGAAAACCTTAATAGGTTTTATTAAAAAATTTGACCTCAAAAAATAAAACTTTTCATGTTGAAATATCAAATTCAAATATTTTGTGAATAAAAATATTGACGAAAAAGGTCTACACACATAATCGGACCGGCATAGTCGGTTCTGCAGTATTTGTCGAACAACAAAGCCGACCCGAAGTAATTACTGCACTTGTTTGGCATCATTCGATTCGGCAATACTAAACTTGTAGAACGACAAAGCCTACCCGTAGCAACTACTACATACGTTCAGCTCCAATCGAATCGGTTTTCATTCGGTCGTCGCCGCTTGGTTTTTAATCTTCATTGTCAAATTTAAGCCGAGTGCGTTGAGATTCCCGAACATTCACCTACATATATAATTGATTTTACCGCCCGGCTGTGCCGATTAATGCCGGTCCGATTTTGTGTGTAGCCTACCCTAACGAATCAATTATTCATAACCACACCCAACCAACAATTTATTTAAGCTACAGCCCTCTGTTGGCAATATCAAATATTTCAACTATCTAGCAATCTACTTTGACTTGAAACTCTAAGTTATGTAGGTAGGTGTAAAGGTACTATATATGCATGGCTAATAAGGCTATATATTTTAAAGTAGTTTTTGATGGCTTGATAGAATTTATTTATAACGTGTTCATTTTTTTTGCTTTCAAGACCTTATACTAATATCTCCATAAATAATTATGTACCAAATTAACCCATGTATAATCCTGATTGAGGTCTTAATATTAAATAAGTACTTTTATTTAATACCTCAACACCTGTCACATGTATAAAATCATAGGTGTACTATACTTATTCCAGAGAAAAATAATAATTTAAATGATCTAATAGATTAACAATATTTGTATAAATATCTCCAATCTTTTAGGAAGTACTTACTTGCGTGTAGGTAGGAATATTAAAAATCCTAAGTAGAAAATGGCTGCAAAATTATTTTAAAAAAATAGTGGAAAATCATGCAAAGTTACGGTGCTACCTATCCTAAATGATGTTTGATTTGGTTTTCTTAAATTAACATAATATTAAAACAATGAACATGTCGCGTACTTAAATAAAAAATCAAAGATCTAAGGAAGGCCACCGCTAAAACTCTACTTACGCTTTCTACAATAGTATGTTTTATACTCTACTATACCGTTTACTCTACTCAATCCGAAAACCTACAACATACTTAAAAGTATAAAGGCTTGCATAAATAAAGAAACGCGACGCGAGTTTCCCAAAGGTACAGAAAGTAGGAAAAACTCAAATTTGTTATAAATACTTAATTGGTGTAACTTTAACTAATTTTTTAGATAAAAATGAATGTATTAATATTAATTTTAACTAGAAAAGTAGAAAATAAAAGTTTTATTAATTTCCCCATAAATATGGGGCAATTAATAAAACTTTTATCTTAAACTTTTACTCTTCACTCTTTTTTCTTTTGCTTGGTGCGATTCTGAGACACCTTTCGCTTCTTTGATATTCACCAATCAATCGCTTCATCCATCCCTCCCTTCAAAGATTACTAATTTGACCTTCATAACTAAAGAAAGTTCTTAGTAGAAAAAAGCTAACTCGTCTCATGCACAAAGCTTGATTCGAATAATTCAATCTTCATAATTTTTACGCTCACTAGTGCTTGCGAAGATAAATTAGCACTATAAGTATAATAAACACCTATTTTTCTGGCGTTGTCATCTCTAAAATCAGAAAACCGGACTTACTCGCCAAAGAAGCCGGACTTTAGGGTCCCACAGCCAGACGCCTTTTTTTACCAAAGGCTCAAATAAAACACATGTCTTTATTAAAGAAAGTTTTTGTAGATTTCTATTTTCATTTGCATATTTTTCTTTAATTGTCTCGTCAGCCGGATAGGCCGGGCGCAGTCAAATTGGCCCGGATAAGAGATCAAAAAGCCTTACGCTATCTGGATGGATGGCAACGCTACTTTGGTCTAGCCTTCTTCCATCCATTCTCTTTTAGTGCCCAAACCATCGATTCAACTTTTGTACCTTCGGATCTTAATATTCTATCAGCTCACTGCACTACTTTATCAAATATCTATTCTCAATTTGTCACAAATATTCCCTTAGGCTGTTAAGGAAATCGGAGTTTGTAAACCAGTTTCCTAAAAGTATTATTTTATACTTCTACGTTAATGGTTTCCTATAGAGATTTTTACATTACTTAAACTTCTAAAGGAACGTATTTCGGCTACATCAAGGTGCTGAACTTTCATGCTTCTTCTACCATACCCAAGTGAAAATTATAAAAATAAAACTCAGAAGGCCTTAAATATTATTCAATAGTTTTGGTACGATGGGGCTATTTACCACCTTTACTAAATACATAAAAATAAATCTATACAAAGTATAAATGCGATATTAATATAAAATTTAAATTGTCATACTTGATATTTTGTAAACAAACTGTTCAATAATGTTATAAATATCACACGATTCTATGCATGATTTTATAAAATTTATTTAAGCATATTTTTGTGGTTATAAATAAAATTTATTATTCAAAAAACACATCAAATAAATGAATTTTGATATTCTGTTATTCAAGACTATGAACTCTACTTACAAAGTGATAGGATAGGACTAAGTTGGCCCCAGCCCCACGGCCTAGGTATTAAGACCCCTTTCTTAGGGACCTAATTTAGGGACTTAAATTATGCAAAATTATTTTAATGAAAATAACCGTGCCATTTTATGTAGACCGAGTGTTACAGAAACCATTGGCATATATAAGATCACGATTAAAATAGTGATAACGGCGCAACTCAGAAATTTCAATTAATTCTTAAGTTTGATTAAAATTTATGATATACCTTTCTTTCTGCAAGAAATAGATTAAGATAGCATATCAATTTGACAAGCATTAAATTTAATTGACGTTTCTGAAAACAGCTATCACGTCTTACTCATTTATCATCAATAAAGATAGTACATTAAATATCGACGCACTTCAGAAATTAAAGCCAACATGCAATAACATTATTAAATCAAATTTTAGCTTAATTCTGTTTTCAAGGTTTACACATTATTGAAAGGCCCAATTGCACCAAAGTTCTTAAATCCAATAAAGGCTTAATCGTGTTTAACACATCATTCCATCTTTGTCAATTGTTTAAATTCAATAGGAGATAGAATGAGGCAAAAACATGATTAACTTTGAATTAGCACTTTGATGCAAGTAGGCGTCAATCTTTGTCAAATGTTTGAAGATAATAGAGATATAAACATTATTCTATTTAGATTTGATTTAAGAATGATGGTGCATACCTACAAGTACTTATCCCTCAGAATAGTTTAATGAAACAGATACTAAAATATATTATAATTCTATATTACCTAACTCTTAACTTTTACCTTCAGAGTGACACAATGTACCAAATGACTATTTATTATTGTAAAAATATGTATTTATATTTACGATAATTCAATTCGTTATTCCTTAAAAAAGTTGTAATTTATTATTGCTTATGATAACCGTATTTTAGTTAAAGCATTATACCGTCCCCTTGAAGTTTTAAATATGTTTATAAATATATTATTACGACATATAATATTCATACACTATTATTATATTATACACAAATTAAGATTATAAATAAAACACACGATATATAACTAAGTACGCATAGTTATAGGTAGTATACCTAAAATTACTTAATTGTATTAAATGCATATGTGTTGCATGCACTACAAT